TTTTTTTGGTAAACTTTTGGAAAGTGGGGATATATAATTATTAACTTGCCAAATATACAGGAGTAGTCATAGTGGCAGTAACAACGAGATGGTGTCCTGAAATAGTTAGATATCGGCTCATTTGTTTGTCTGTTTTTATTTTTAAATTTATGATATAATCGAATATCTAACCGGGTAGGGTATTTATTCTATACACTTATAATGATCATCATAGAGTCTAGGCAACACAAATGAAATTGTGAAATGTGTATGATTTTTATCGCAATTTGACTGTCAGTAGGTAGAAACAGCATTTTTCACTCACTCTGCCTCCCCCCACCCCTGTATTTCTCTGTTGATTTCATAAAGTATATTTAGATTTTTTTTGAATTTCTTTCACGTTCCCAGTGGAACATAGGGCTTCAACCTGGTGGCTTGAAGTTTCTGTACCAGTGTTTAATTTTACAAGATGGGGTTGCTAGCCAGTCACATGCCCAACCTTTCCTTTTTGCTAGCATTATTTCTGGTTTAGCGAGGTGAAGGAGTTCGTTGGCCGCCGGGGATCGAACGCCGGACCATATGCAGCGTGGTCGGCGAGCATCCTAACCGCTGTGCCACCGACGCACTCATAAAGTATGTTTAAATAGCAACAGGTTTTTCATTGTGAGTCGACGGTTCCAAGGAAGGAATACAGATCAAATACTCAATTGCAATATACTAAAGGAGTTGTGTACAAGCACTATTCAAGTGACCCAGTCAGGACTCATTGCACCGCTCCTTCCTACCATAAGGAAAAAAATTGAAGAAAGATATCTCATGGACGTGTATTCCAAAAGAATAGATATCCACGAAATTTCATCTAAGAAAGACATCTACCCCCAAGCCAACCAACCTGTCAAGTCAAAGGCTCCCAAGGAAAGCACACAAAAAAATAGATCTACCATATATAGGAATTAGTGTCGCACACAAACCAACAAAGCCACTTCACTCAGCTGACTCAGTGTCAACCAAAAGACTCAACAGCGAAAGAAGATTTAAACCAACATCATCTACAAAATAAATTGTAACAACTGAGAAAAACACTCCATTACCCAAAGTCTGCTACATATTGTTGAGGCTGGCCATTGAGATTTACATTAAGAAACTTAAGTTATGTATGTATCCAAAAGAAGAAGCTGATTCAGACCCTTTCCTTAGTTACTATGGTTATCAAGGTTTTAATGCTTCTCAATTTATTGTGAAAATTTCTTTAATTTTATTTGATATTCTATTTACTATTACATTTTTATCCTTATTATAACTTAAGCGTTTTCTTTGAACTGTGGTTAGAGTTCATTGATCTTAGCTAATCGATAAATAAAGTTAATGAAACTACAATAAACAGAAATGTATGAAAAAAGAATATTTACACAAAAAGTAAAAATGAAGATGTAGTAAATCTGAAGGAATACAAAGGAGTGAATTAATTTGCAACAGTTAAAAATGATTTTGAGTCATATCATCAATAGTTTCGAAGATTTCAGTCAGACAGTATATACCTTCTCCCCCGCCCCCCCTCACACACAACCGCCTGGTGCAGCTTAAATCAATAGTCAAAGAACAATCATTGACTAGTACGGCTTTGTGTGTGTGGTCTGACTACCCTTAAATCCTCTCCAACCTAATCCAAAATCACCTACAAGGGAGCAATATATATCACTTCATGTAGGATTCATCAGCGAGATACTAACACAACGCTTTAGAAATGCAGTATGAAGAGAATTCCCTACCGCTGAGTTACTCTGTGTCTTCAAAACCACCCCTATTTTGAGTTCGGGAGTAAAAGATAAACTGCCTAATTTCGCCTATCTACCAATTTAACTGCTCCTGCGCAGTGAGCCAGTTAGTTGCATAGGCTGTACAATTAGGCGTGTTTCTTGTCGAATTTCAGAACATCACCCTGCAAAGTGGTTGGTTAAGTAAAGGACAAACAAAATCTTATCGCAGCGCTATTCTATCTCATCTTGTAGATACAGAACACAAGACTGGTGTCAACGAGGCTTTCACAGTGATTTACTACCACATACCAACAAATCTTAACTACACCTTAAGAGTTCGACTAATAAATATTGCTGAGGCTGGCTGGCTATAGAATCATCCACATTAAGAAGCCTAACTTATGTGTCCAAAAGAAGCTAGTTCAGACATTATCCTTACCTTGGTCATCTAGGTTTGAATGATCCTGAATTTTTGTGGAAGTTTCCTAACTTTAGTTGATATTCTATTTGCTACTATATCTTTATTATTATTATTATTTAAGCATCTTTAATGAACTGCGGTAATTCCATTGTGATCTTACTTTACAAATCGATATTATTTATTATTATTATTATTGTATCCTTTAGTTCCTAGAGGAACATAGGGCTTCAGCTGCGCACCTCCATTGCCTTCTTTTTTCTGACAACTTTTTCACCCCGCTCCAAGTCTGCCGCTCACGTGCTTTCATCTCCTCTTCACACGAACTCCTCCAAGTCACCCTTGCACTAACGACCAACTCGTCGCTTCCCTTTCGACTGGGTTCCACTCGAGGGCTTGTCTAGTGATGTCACTTGATGGTTTCTTCGGCGTATGGCCAATCCATCTCCATTTCTTCCTGCCTATTTGTTTCACAATCGGTTCCTGCTGTTGGTTCGCTCTCAGAGATCCCTGTTGCTGATCTTTTCTGGGCCATCTGATCTTGAGTATTGAGCGAAGACAGCTGTTAATGAAGGTTTGAAGTTTGTTTGAGATGCTCTTTATGACTCGCCAAGTCTCTGATCCGTATAGTAGCACTGATTTCACATTGGAGTTGAAAATCCGGATCTTATATTCGTTTTGATGCTGAGTGCTGTTGACCTCCACACAGACTTGAGAGTAATGAAAGCTTGTCTTGCTTTTCCGATTCTGGCTTTGATGTTATTTAATAAACACTAATATTTTTATTGACTCTTATTCTAGAATATTCTATGTATATAAACATACATAGTATATAATTGGAGAGCCAGAAAAGGAGGAAATGATCGAAATGGGGGTATTCTTTGCTCAATTATTTTGTGTTTCATCGATGTCTGAATGAATATTTTCGCTATATTGAAACCAATATGAACTAGTAGACTACTATGGTGAGTGATGCAATTCTGCTTTTTAGACCTATATGGTCACCTCTAAGAAAACTCAGTCAGCGAACTAGTGAAGACTTAATTTTGTGTTATATTACAATAATTTAAATTATTTTTGAATTAGTGGGGATGAGAATTCAAATTTAAATTTCTAAGATAGTAACTCAAATTTATCTTCAATTACCTCAGCTTCAAATGTTAGTGCTGAAATATATAAACTTTTACACAAGGGGACTGGCAAGAATCTGATTAGATTTTGTCATGAAGTGATATCCCGTACAGTGGTACTGAACAGCCGTCTCGTCCTCTATCTTGGAACCCATCAGTAGTGTGTACGCATAGCGTAATCAGGATTCCGACCAATGATAAGGCTCAGATTAGGACGAAACAGATAATTTCACTACTACTTGTCTACCAATAATTCTTTAAATAATGTTGGTTCATTATATACAACTCATTGAAATCTTATTTGATTAACTAGTAATAAGCGAAGAGTACAGCTTATTATTGACAATAAACTTGTCTTGACCTCCGTGACCTTTCATAAGTGAAATTAAAATTCATTTGAAAATAGCCTTATCTTGGTAACATCATTTAGTTTGTTGATGAAATCATCGGGATTAGGTGTCGAAATGTATAGGACATGAAACGGTCACATTTTCATACATGCATCTTTGCTGCATACAAGCGCCTTAAGATGTGTAAACTCAGGGATCAATTTTTTTTTTAAATTCCTTTACGTTCCCAGTGGAATATAGGGACTTGAAATTAGAGGCTTGAAGTTTCAGGAGCATTGATGATTATTTTCACGGGATGGGGTTGCCATCCAGCTTTATGCCTAACCTTTCCTCTTTACCAGTCTTATTACTAGCTTATCGAGATGAAGGAGTGCATCAGCAGCAGCCGGGAATCGAACGCCGGGTCACGTGTGGCGTGGTTGGCGAGCATTCTACTTCACTGCCACTGACGTATTAGGGGTCTATTGTCTATTACATTTCTAATATAAAATAGACACCTAAAAAGAATCCGCTTCTCTGTGTTTAAAAAATCCACTTCGTCGTCTTTGTTTCTTTGAAGTGAATTCATGTAACTTGTCATGAACCAACAGAAACTACTTTGAACTTAGTTTTCTGTTCACTAGTATCTGACTTCAGTACAGATGTATTGAAGTCTTGATGAGATGTTGTGGTCCGTTTGAGTATACCATATCGGGTGTGAAACGATAGTATCTGGTGATTGGTATCAGTTTGCAATGGCGTTATATCGTGAATTCATAAGTTACTGGATTCCAACTCAGTAGCTATAAAGTCAACCGTTTTGCATCATTGTAACCCTAAATTCTAATAGCTGACTTCTCGGAAGATTATATTCCCAAGAAGTTGAAGAAGAATTTTAATACTAGATTCATGGTTCTTGTTTATTTTCTAATCGATATGAATTTTGGAATGACATTTAAATTTAAATTAACCAAATTCCTAAAAGACTAGAGACCTAAAAACGAGAGGCACAACTATTATTTGTATTAGTTGGTTGGAGGCAGTCGGTCACAGGAAGCCTTGCCTGACCTGAGTTTCGTGCTAGTTGGTACTCATCAGCAACCTAGCACGAAATCTAGGTCTAAGACTTCCTACCGATTGCCTACAACAATCTATGATCGACATTTCACAGTGCACCGTGATGCCGAGCCACCTAGCAGTGGCATAGTGGCCACATTGCAAACTTGACCGACTGATAGAATTCAATCTGTACCAAAGATAAGACTACCACACGCACACACACACATATATATTACACTAATTACTGACTAGTGTCCAGTCAGAAAGACACAACTACTATTGATAAATAAGTAGTATAACTAGCTAATATACATAATTTTAAACTTACATTCTTTTTTCATGCCTGCCAATAAACACCTTGACATACGACACGCTTGACATTGATTACGTCGTTGTGCATCTACTGGACACTGCCCAGCTGACCTACAAATATAACTAGCTGATTTACGTACAGAACGTTTGAAAAAGCTTTTACATCCTTCACATGTATACTGGCCGTAATGTTTACCACTACTACGGTCACCGCATACCTTGAAAAAGTTTGTAGAAATCAAAAAAAAAAATAAAAATAAAAAGAGATGAGGTTTACAGGTTGTATTTTTGCATAAAAATATATGCATACTACTGGTGGATTAAGATGATATGGTTATAAATAGTAGGTTGTGCTCGAAATGTTATGAGTAAAGAATACTGCATGACATTGTGAGACTTTATCGGAAATAAATTTACTCTTTGATGGAATTATGTTGGATCACAGTGCCCAAGTTCTATTTTAATATAATCGGTGGTTGAGATAAATAGGCGTATATGAGTGTATATCAGCCAGTAGTGCCTGCTGGTCAGATTGAGGTGATCTAAGCATCAGGCAAATGTGTCGCTAGTTTAATGAGATTTTAACCCTCCCCCCCGCCTTGGGATGTGTAATCTGGAAATGGCTAATTAATCTGCAAATTATGAATTTTGATTTAAGGCCACATTTCTATTTTTGCTTGATACAGACTTACTGACTTCCATATTGATAAAGTTCGGACCCAGATGTACTCACTCCATTATATTGCAAAAGGTTTCTAAAGAAGGAAATGTGTCTACTGATCGGAAGAAAGGCTGGATACCTTGCCAAGCTACTAAAGAGGAACGACTTCCACCTCACTCTTTAAGAAATGGTGTGGAATAACGTTTTTGTCCACGCTAAGTGGACTACTAAATCGTGTCATCCTGGAGAGAATAAAAAATCCACTGGATGCAGAACTTTGTCAGCCAGGAACAAGCTGGATTCGGGGAAGGCAAATCATGTGTGTGTGGATCAAATTGCAACTCGGCGCGTCGTCATCGACACAGAGCATTGAGTGGCAGCCAAACCTCTACTTCAACGTGACTGACTTTGCGTAGGCCTTCGACAGCGTTGACAATGAAGTAATTTAGGAGCTGCTTCAACACTATGGTGTGCCATTCGAATTGAATACAGGAGAAAGACAAGGCTGTTTGCGTATTATCACCAATGATATTCGTAAATGCGATGAACTGGATTTTGCGTCAGACTGTGCACAGGGAGTGAGTGAGTGAGAAGACAAGAATACGTTAAACTCATAGGAAGACTCTAGAAGATCTGGATATCGTGAATGATTTACGTTTAATGTCACGCAAACTCGAAGATATACAGGGAGGAAACCATCAAACAGGATGAAGAGACTAGCACAGGGGATAGGACTCGAGGTGAACATACAGAAGATGGAGATGATGAAGATAACCGACGGACCTTGAACAATAACAACAACCAGCACTAATCACCATCAACGGGAGAGATTCAACAGAGATTACTTTCTCCACTTATCTAGGAGTACGGTTTCAACTACAGGCTGGAGGAGCAAATGAAGATTTCAAAGCTGCAACAGAAAAGGCAAGATATAATTTCTTCATCACTCGAGAATCGGTCTGGAAATCTACTGCAGTCAGCATAAAGAACGAAATTCAGATCTTCAACATAAATGTGAAGTCAATCACTTCTTCTTCTCTGTGTGTGTGTCCGAAACTTGCACTGCTCGTCACAAAAAGGATTTCCAACCGGTGACAGACTTTTATCAACAATCGCCTACTTCGCTAACTTCATGTTGAAGATCAAATGACCAGCCGGCCAGCTAGAAAGAATTATTATATTTATTATTATTGTATCCTTTAGTTCCTAGAGGAACATAGGGCTTCAGCTGCGCACCTCCATTGCCTTCGGTTTCCGGACAACTTTTTAACCCTGCTCCAGGTCTGCCCACATGCTTTCATCTCCTCCTCGCATGACCTCCTCCACGTCACCCTTGGACGACCAACTCGCCGCCTCCCTTTCGGGTTCCACTTGAGGGCTTGTCTAGTGATGTCACTTGATGGTTTCCTCAGCGTATGGCCAATCCATCTCCATTTCTTTCTGCCTATTTGTTTCACAATCGGTTCCTGATTGGTTCGCTCCCAGAGATCCCTGTTGCTGATCTTTTCTGGCCATCTGATCATGAGTAGTATTGAGCGAAGACAACTGTTAATGAAGGTCTGAAGTTTGTTTGAGATGCTCTTTATGACTCGCCAAGTCTCTGATCCGTATAGTAGCACTGACTTCACATTGGAGTTGAAAATCCGGATCTTATTTTTGATGCTGAGTGCTGTTGACCTCTACACAGATTTGAGAGTAATGAAAGCTTGTCTTGCTTTTCCGATTCTGGCTTTGATGTCCTCGTCAGTTCCGCCTGTAGTTGAGACGATGCTTCCCAGGTAGGTGAAGGAGGTTGTTTCTTTCAGGTTCTTCCCACTTATGCTGATTGTTGTCTGTTGTTGTTGTTGCTGTTGATGTTGGCTAGGAATCTTCATCATCTCTGTTTTATCTATGTTCACGTGAAGTCCTATCTTTGATGCTAGAAAGAATTAGAAACACAAAACTGTGACAACAGACCAACAAAGAACCTATTGCTTAGTAAATATGTAGGAGAAAATGGAAATGGATTGGGCACACTGTAAGCAGATCGCCAAATGGCATTGCGTACAATGCAGGCCATTGCTCAAGTGGGACCTGAATGTGAAACAACAAGCTGGCCGTGGATTTGAAAGTGATATGGTTGAGATGACAGAGACAGCCAGATGAAGAAGTCTACAGGAAATAGAAGTGAAGATGTGTTGAAGCATGTTGAAGCCCTATATTCCACCCGGAACCCAAGAGATTAGTGGCAATGCAACAGCAATAATGACAAAATTAACAAGAGCAAGGCGGCAGCTAGCAGAAACAGCAGAGTTTTAATCATCCAATTTCATTATACATAACTATTCATCACAGCTTCGAGAAATCTAAATCCCCTGTGTCCTTATTGATCACTGAATGGGATCTCAGTGGCCAACTCGTTTTTCCGAGCTTGTCTTGTTACTGGAAGGGTCTTGGTTCAAACTCTAGCAGTGGGCACGTACCATTGATTAGTCCCAATTCACTAGGAAGGAACAGCTAGCTGTAGAGTACTGCTTGGTGTTTTTCAATGGTTCTTTAACTGATATCGATCCGTGATCGAACTTGAAACAAGTCAAATCCTTACAAACTAACTCTTAAAAGTGTTCAAACAGACTGTTATTTCATCGAAGAGCAGTGATAATACGACATACCCCTAGAGACATTAATTTCAATCAACTAGTCTTACTAATCTGTGGCACTAAGTATTGTTTGATAACCACACATCTAGTAGAGTTCTAGGTAAACAGGGGAAATCAATCGACGAAGTCGTGAAGCTACAAAGACTGAGATGGTTAGGACATGTGTTACGTATGCCAAGCCATCGCCTCCCTCGACGAGCAATGTTAGCGGATATAGGGTCAGGCTGGAAAAGAGCTAGCGGCTGTCAAACAAAAACTTGGCTTCACCAGTCAATGAAATCCACAACAGTTGGTCTAAGCCACGTAGGAAGGTGTAGACTTCCAGGCTGGGGTCTTCGGGACGGTAAAAATCTATGGTTGGAAACAATTGGTGACATGGCTCAAAATCGTTCTCAGTGGCGCAGATGCATCCACTCCTTGTGACTTATGATCTCCAATGAAACTGTTTTGTTTTTCTTTATTACTCCTTTGTCTCACATCTCTGCTCACTGTTTCTATTATGCTTTTCTTGTACTTTCTTCTCTTGCTTCGCGTGCTACACGGAGTGTGGCGACTTGAACTGTCGCACATTTGAGCAAAGTTCTATGTCGAAAACAGACAGGCAAACACATCTAGACAGTAGACTTCAAAGTTAATTATTACATAATTGCACACTAAGAAGGAGTGTGTATAGGAAGCCTACAACAACAGGTCAGTACACTCATTTTTTGAGTTTTGTACCTTTGAAGTATAAACGTAACCTGGTAAAGTGTCTGGTTCATAGAGCTAGGTTAATCCGTTCAGACGACTGCCTCAATGAGGAGCTTAAGATTACTAGAGAATTACTTATAAAAAATGGTTATCCAGATGAATTCATTGAGAAAAATATGAATTTATCACCTAGAAGAGTCAGGATAGCAACAGTTCCGAAAAAAACCAATGTCCATAAAATTGGAGTTCCTCGGTGACAATATCAGCGAAATAATAACACAGCGCCTGAAGAATGCAGTTAAAAGAGCTTATTATGCAGCAGAGGTACGTTGTCCCTTCACAACCACGCCTATTCTACGTTGGAGAAATAAGGATAAACTATCTAAAATTGCCTCTTCTATGTGTATCTACCAGTTTTGACTGCAGCTGAAGACAGAGCTAGGAATCCACCTGAAGAACAAGCCAAACCTGTGTGTTCAGAAGAAATTTGTACGGCCAATTTCCTTACCTTGGCCATCGTTACATGAATGTATAAACCGGGCTACTTCACCCCCCTCCCCGTAAACCTTTGAAAACTATAAAAAATTACAATTGTCCAAATTATTTTATTTCTTTCTGACCACTTCATCTTTAATTACGTGTTATCCTTGTAAAATTAATTTATTCTAACCATTTCTACCTTTTAAATGTGTGTAATGATTTTCTTCGTTAATTATTACAATTATTACAATATACAACAGAGATGAGGATCTAATTGAAAAGTAAATATTTTTTCGCTCAATCTTTCTGTTTTCTAAATATCTGAATGGGGATTTTTTCTAAATTGCATTTTTATAATTTCATGGTAGTATATATATGTCCCGATAGCAACTCATTCTCAAGAGCTTAGAATCTTCAATATCAGCGGTTTTATTTTTACCTGGTGGGGTTGTTAGCCTCACTTATCTCAGCCTTCCGTCTTTACTGACTTTACTACGGGCTTAGCGAGTGAGGTTCAAGGATTACCTCAGGGAAGGATAGAATCCCAGACCATGTGGGGCGTAGCTGGAGAGCGTCCTACTGCTCAACCACTGACGCACATATTGGAAGTATGCTTTATCATTATCCCATTTTTTTCTTCATATCGAAAATGCGTACCAAGTTTTCTTTTCTATTTAATTGAAACCTCTGACAATTCCTTCTTGTTGAACTTAAGGGGCTGCAAAGTAAAACTTATGAACAAAGAAGTCTCTCCAAGTCCGATAAAATGACTTTTGTCAATTTTTTTGCTTAATTCTAAATGTCTGTCAACTGTGACATCAACAAACTGGCCTAAATAATACACCTAATTTCACCCTACTAAGAGCCTCCATAGTTATTCTCACCGTAACAGTCATGTTTATTGAATCAGCCCACGAATAAGGTTAACAACAATAATAATGTACAATTAATAATTTCTTGACACGAACTAATAATTTCAAGAAGACTCTATTGTTAATTTCTTTTCCTTCACGTTCCCCAGTGGAACAAAGGGGGCTCCAAGCTATTGGCTTGAAGTTTCTGTAGCAGTGTTTATTTTACAGGTTGGGATTGCTAGCCAGCCTCATGCCCAACCTTTCCTCTTTACCAGCATTATTTCTGGCTTTGCGAGGTAAAGGAGTTCGTTGGCGGCCGGGGATTGAACCCCGGATCATGTGCATGATCGGCGAGTGTCCTAACCGCTATGCCACCGACGCGCAAATATTATTTTGGGAAAGGTAAATTTTTAAACGGGCAACTGAGAGAGATACTGTTAAAATACAAGTTATACAAAAAAAGTATCATGAACTGAATATATTACTGCAGCATTGGGCTAATTATGAATAAGTGCTAAACAACATGTTGAAATCTGATTGGTTGATTATCAGGCTGACATATATATATATATATATATATATATATATATATATATATATAACCATCTTTACATATGTATTGACCGTTTTCTATTGACTTGGATTTTTAAACTTACTGGTCACACCTGATTTATTTTTTATTAGTTGGTATATTTCGTCTATATGTTAACGTGTTTGTTAATTGCATTTTCGTTTGAGTACCAGGCTTCTAGGAATTCGCTGACTACACTTTCGGTGATGTTTCCTCTGTTTAAGATTTTGATATTATCCCAATCAAACTGATGCCCATAATTGTCTGAATGCATTGACACTAAAGAATTTATATCATGTCTTTTCATGGCTGATTTGTGTTCTTGGATTCTTATTCGAAGGGGACGGCCACTTTGGCCAATTACTCACAAAAGAAACTGTGTGCAGACATTGTTTAGAAGAGTTCAAACATATTGTAGCTCTCCAGAGGTGAAAAAATGGAAGAAAAATACTTACAAACTGTCTTCAAGAGGAATGGTTATCCACAAAATTTCATCAAAAAAGTGTTGAAATTCGAATCAAAACACCAACAATGAACCATCATCAAACACCAAAAAGAAATTCATCATACCATACATCAGAAATATCTCTGAAATAACGGCTAGAATAATGAAACCGTTTGATATAAATGTAGCACACAAACCAGTCGAATCGCTTAATTCGATCTTATGCAAACCAAAAGATCTAACAAAAAAGGGAATAAAATTAATACCATTTACAAAATAAATTGCATGTATGAACTGTAACAAGCATTACATCAGCCAAAGTGGGCGTCCCCTTCGAATAAGAATCCAAGAACACAAATCAGTCGTGAAAAGACATGATATAAATTCTTTAGTGTCAATGCATACAGACAATTATGGGCATCAGTTTGATTGGGATAATATCAAAATCTTAAACAGAGGAAACATCACCGAAAGTGTAGTCAGCGAATTCCTAGAAGCCTGGTACTCAAACGAAAATGCAATTAACAAACACGTTAACATATAGACGAAATATACCAACTAATAAAAAGTAAATCAGGTGTGACCAGTAAGTTAAAAAATCCAAGTCAATAGAAAATGGTCAATACATATGTAAAGATGGTTACCCGGAGACGCAATTCTATCACTCATGAAGAAATTTAAATCATTTCACTTTATCCTACATACTGAACTGAAGATGTTGTCTAGCAGGGGGGACGATGAAAGCTCCGCAACTAAACCAACCAACCAACCAGCTCAGAGAACACTATTAATTGCAAGACTGACTATTTATCGATCGAATCTGTAGTTATTTAATAAAAATAGCAAAGATTGTTTAGCCCAGAAAATAATAATAATAATAAAGGTAATGGAAGACCGATTACCACGAGATCAGTCAATTTTCTATACAAGTTAATCTCATTGGATGATTTCAGTTTTGCAGTACTACTTGGGCTGGATGCTTTCATTGTTCTTATGGACAGTATCGTTAGCGCAGGCTTCAAATGGAAGACTAACAGTTGAGTTATTGAGCTCAAAGAAAATTACAAAATTAAAAATAATAACTCAATAGAGTCTGATCATATCATTAGATTTAATATTTTCTTATTAAAAGATCAATAAATGTGCTTACCTGACATAAATGTTGAATATCAGCATCAACATCTTCAACGTCCTCCTCACCATCTACATCCTCATGATCATTACTGTTGGTGTTATCATCATCATCATACTCAACAGTACATCTATCAGAAGAATTATTTTCATCTTCACCAACTTCTTCTTTGTAAGCATTAACATCATTAATGACGTCTTGATTCTTTCCTTGACTTGTTAATATCTCCTTGGATTTCATCAATGATTCTATTTGTCTATAGGCTAGAGAATGTTTTTCATTATTAGATTTATGGAATGCATTATTCACTGGAGTAATATCGTTAACTATATTACTATTGTTATTAGTAATAGTAGTATTGTTATTACTATCTGAAGCCACTTTTCTCACCATCATCATACACGGGAGTAGGCTGTGAGGAGAGGAGAGTTTCCCTTGTGTATTCAACTGTTGTATCCATTCCACTTGGCTTAATCTAACTTCGTCTATCATACCCGCTGGTAATGTTGATACTGATGGAGAATTTGTCGTTGTTGTTGTTGTTGCCGCTGCTGCTGCTGACATCAAACAAGCCGGGGAATTCGAATTAGAAGACGTCGATAATGCCTGGTTTTGTGCTGAGCATAACTGAAGGTTTGAGGAATCAAGTCTACAGAAATTAGGATTCTTTGGATTCCCGTACACGGTTGTCATTTGTGTTGGTAAACTATTATAGGTATTACATTGAGTAATATTTAAACGATTAGTTGTTGGATTTCCTATCACTGGCTTTCCTGTAGGACGTATGGTATAACCGTCTTTTGCATAAATCATTTCTTTATAATAATAACAATAATCAGTAGAAGAAGAATCGATGGAATTATTATTTCCATTAATGTTTGAAAAAGACTTTTCTGGTAAACTATTCATGTAAAACTGATAATTAATATGTGTTTCAATTCTTTCTTTTTTTTTTCTTCGCGTTGTTTTTTGAACTCTGTCTACTTTCTTGTTCTGCCTTTTGTTTTCCCAGTCTGGTTTCATCATAGTGAGTTGAATTCATCCTTCTTTTCTCTAATGTCATTGGAAAATAACCAATCAAAAATCAAAGGGGAATGAAAAATAGTGGTGAAATCCTCCATACAATGAAAGAATAGTTTAAACAAAAAAAGTGAATACGGTTCATTAAATGATTGGTTGTTGTTATTAATTTACTTCCTTCACCTCGGGGGGGGAAAATATCATCCCGGGGAAGGAATATCAGAGAATTATAATCATCATAATCGCCTGATTTAAAACAATGGTAATAAATCCTCCATACAATCAAACCAAATCTCTTCTCAATAATGAATTCAATTCTTAAATTGAATTCTAGAATTTCCCATCGATTGATTGAACAGAAGTGCTATATTGTATACAATTGGTGGATGGTGGCTAGCAGTGGAATCCAGGATGCGTATTTCGTCCTAATTGGGACTCGTCAGCTGGATGTACCTGCATTTCTCAGTGAGTGATGATGTTCCCGCCGAGGCTCGAACCCAGTGCCCATAATTTCAAACTCCAAAGCCTGGATTCCACTGCTAGCCACCATCCACCAATTGTATACAAATCAAATCCCCAGACATCATCGAAGCATCTGCACAAGAAGCCGACATGTCAACCTGAGACCGAACACTTCGGTCCAATCAATCGACGGGAAAATCAAAAATTCAATTCAAGAAGTGCTATATATATATATATATATATATATATATATATAAAGAGAGAGAGAGAAAAAAAAAATAATGAACAGTCGTCAGATAAATAAATTCGATTGTTAGACTTGTTCAAAATATTTTACTGTTCAGTAAGTTAACGTTATTGATGAACAGAGCTCAGATACACACATACCCACACTTTTCAGCTAGATATGGGGTTGACTTTCAGAAATTCGCTAAGTAAATTATCATGTCAAATAGAATAAAACAAAATATGATTATTTGTTTAGAGTATTGATTTTAATGAAATGAATGGTGAATGAAAGTAAGTCATATATGAATTGGATTCAAACCATCAACCTTTGAGCGTTCAACTAACTCACCCAGGAGATACAACTGTTAACCGGGGTAATTATTTCAACACTTCTCTCTTTCTCCTTAGATCTGGACTCCACGGATGATTTTTGTCTAGTGTCATGAAAATTCTAAGAATTACAGGCGAAAAAAAACCGACAAGTTGTCAGAATAAGGAGGCAGCGAAGACAGGACTTCAAGTGAAAACAGAAAGAATAACAATAACAACAAGCACCAAACACTATAAACAGGAGAAATTCGATAAAGGTCACTACCCTTATCAAATGAACTGTAGTCAAGATTTGACAGAATAGTTCTAAAAAATTTGGGCGCCGAGTGAGAAGTAGACATTTGTAAACAATTATATTCGTAAAATCTCAGCGATATTGAAATGAGTAATTCCAACGTTTCGTTCGGCAATCTGGTCCGAACTTCTTCAGGGAAATTAATCGAAATTAACATAACAGAGGTTTATATATAAAAGGAACATCTCTTATTTTTAAGAACTTTGTCCAATCATGAGTCATAAAACAGGCATCAACATGTACAATAAACAAAATTGTATGAGTTGTGATCAAAATTTGACCTCAGACTTACAAATATTGATCTACCTTTGTTAAACACTTTAAACACAGTGTGTATGTGTGTGTGTGTGTGCGGATAAACAGTTGTAAAACAATGTCTTAACGTATCCATAAGTAGATATACCCGATGTCAATTCATGACGAAATCCTGAAACTTTGAAATCAGTATGGAAATCTTCCACACTCAGAACAAGAACCGAATTTTTAACACCAATATGAAATTTGTAAGTAGATTAAAACTTTTCTACACATAAACTTAATGATTTATTTAAACTGTAAGCAGCTGATGAGAAGCCAACGAAATAAACAATAATGGTACCGTGGTTATTCGGCAAACCCCACTGTAGTTCTTGTTTTATTCAAATTCATGAAGGGGAGTAAATGTATGAAATGTTAAGTCACTTGTTCTATATGTGTCAGAAGCCTGTGCTCCACGTTATGAAAAACATCTTCAACAGACTGCTTCAAACTTTTGTCAAAAGTTGCAATCGCTGGCTCCGTACTGACGATCAAATGGCCAGCTAGAAAAAAAACCAGCAACAAGGAACTCTGAGAGCGTACCAATCAAGACCCTACTAACCAACACATTTCTCGAAGGAAATAAAGATAGGTGGGAAACACACTGAGGAGACCATTGGGTGACATCGTGCACCAGGCCCTCAAATGGAACCTGAACGACGAAGGATAAGATGGACACTGGTTGGTGGGTGACATGGAAAAGATCATGTAGGGAGGAGATGAAAGCTCATGGGTAGTCGTGGGGTCAGCTGGAGCAAACTTTAGAGAAGACGGTGATATAGGACGAAACAGCTGTCCAGTACTCCCAGGTTTTCCAATGGTTCTGTGTCAGCCCATGATGAAATCCTCCAACTATTCTGAATAAAGCAATTTTCATTACCATTATTAGTAGGATTGGCTGTTACGCAATAACTTTGTCTTATGGTCTGGAACATGAAATTTTTGTGCAATAACATGGAGTCGTTCATCTTAGTGAGTGCATTTTAAACTTGACTAACAGAATTCACACAGAACCATCACTAAGGTGTAGGCACCCTAGTGATAAATTAAAATATCCGTTACAGTCGTACATAAAGTAGCTTATTAGACCCAAAAGCTGCCTGAGAACATCTCTGATTGTAGTGCAGTGTGATATGGCTTCCAATCTCCTATATATATAATAATAATTTGCTTTATTCGCAAACAGTACTTGCGATACAAAATGGAATTCTCAGCATTTTACTACAGTATTGCATCCACCAGTTAGTACATTAACAATAAATAAAATTATACATAGATTAAGGGTAATCTCAGTTCGTTTTGACAGCAACATATTGGCATGTCGGTAGAAAATCCAAAAGTGAGCAGAATCTTTGAAGTTGTTAGAGAAGTAGATACTAGCATATTTACTGGCGTAAAGGGTAACAAAAGGTCGAGATATACAGAGTGTGAAAGAACGAAGAAGAAGGTTTTAAGTAGAGTTTGTAAGGAGGAGAGAAACAAAGCAGCACATAAGAAAAAGAAGGAAAGAAAGAAAACGTTGTACGTATAAATGATATGAGTTGGAAAGACGAGATCCAGTTGTTCTACTGACTATTTAATAAGTTATAGGTATCACGCCTAATACTTTCTTTGTCGCACAGAACACGAGCTAAATAGCGTATGGTTGAGTTTTTGTACTGGCTAGTGCGAGCGTATAGTTTCCTATATAGGCTTCTGGTTTTCCCTGATGAGATATACAAGGGGAGAGTTGTGAATGAAGAGGGTGTTGTGAGTTAGATAGATAGAATGGATTTAGCCCATTTTTCACATGAGTCCATGTGCCTGTCAACCAGAATATTAACAAAATGGTTAAGTGGCACGTAGCTTACCCTGCTGACAACCTTCAACATCCTGCGTAATAAGGTATAGTCTTTCTTCTGGAAAAACTAAGGGGTAACAATAGAGAATAATAGGCAGAATGCGAGAGTTAATTAATTGTAGGAGTAAGGGTTGGGTTATTCCAGAATGTCTTAACTTCTTGATGTAGAAGGTAAGACGGAATATTTTCTTAGAAATCATCAAGATATGAGACGACCAGGAAAGATCAGCAGATAGAATGACGCCAAGATATTTAATTTCCAACTTGGTTTCTATGTCAGTGCCATCTATGTTGCACACCTCGTGAGGTGGGTGCTGACCAGTTTGCTTAGGTCAGATTTATGCCTAAGGGTGAAATTGACTGTTTAGCATTTAGAGGTATTTAAGATTAGACCGTTCTCCTTGGACCACAGTTTTATCAACATGGTTAACTGATGAGTGCCAAGAAGTACGAAACCTATTCCCAGGGAAATTTTCCGACTCTCGAACCAGTAGATAAATGAAACCGTCTGGAAACACGATTATCCTAGTTAGGTAAATAGTAGAGAAGATGACTGGAATACTAAGCGCTGAAGAAAGATATCAGTTGATATGTGAGCGCTAAATTAAAGTTGCTAGGTATAAAACAAATTCCCTCTCGTTGTTATAATGAGCTGTGTTAAACAGTATGTACAGTGTAAACGTGTGTGTGTATGTGCATGGAAGGAACTCAGTAAAAGTTCACAATTAAATCATCAAATTATTCAGCAGTCATTTGTAACATTCTACCGGTAACAACAAATTTATCCTACCAGAAAATAATACTTCTTATTCAAACAGTACAATCGTTATACACCTTACTCTATAAGAAGAACAACGCTGGTTGCCATGGGAAACCTTTTACCTCATTCTACCCATGATCACTTCTCCCATTCATAATTGTTAGGACACTTTGAGATGGGACGGTAAAAGAACAACAATCTCACACAGCCCGATAGATTAAATCAAGTAGAATGTGATGTGTGAAAATGTCTCACACCAGTGCCACTCTCTCACTACTCAATACGAATAAATATGGACATGAAAATTGTTACATTTCTCACAATTATGTCAACAGAACTTTCATTATTAGTACTCTACCACAATAACAGTCTTCACATTCAGTTCCGATTACACATGCTTGTCGATGTATGTGTGTGTGTGTGTGTAAGGAAAGTGACCGCCGCTGGAGTGAGCAATACCAACTAGAATGCTGGTTATATGTAGTGACAAGATTTGAAAGTTGGTTGTTGATTACTTTATCAACAAATCGGGAATGTCGATCTGCGATAGACACATGCATACACATACACATATGCATACACACACCTACAAACTCGTTCAGATCACATTGTCTCCACTAAATCATTCTAACACGCATCACTGGTTCATTGTACTCTCATAATCCAAGTCTCGCATACACTTTCTATCTTCTCAACACTGTTAAAGATCTCAATTGTTGTCATTTCAAATATCTGTGTTCTTATGCCTCTCCTTATAATCAATGAATCCCAGTGAGCAATATTTAGAAATATTGCATAACGATACTGTGAAGTGGAGAATCGATGACAACTACTCAGGATTTTGAGTATTTTGTTTTGGATTCCTTTGAAAATAAGCATAAATCAGTCGTTTTTTAGATTGAGTTTGTTGGGATTTAATTTGTTGCAAGTTTAATCACTGGCTGGTGTCGATTAGGGGCCACTAGAGATTAGGTAGCCTGGAACTCTTCATCAGTACGCACCTACAATGGTTCGAACTCAACACCTTCCAGCTAGACTATTCAACCGCTTGGATCTGATCCATCGTCGCTTGAATTCCAACTTATAGCACGACTATAGGCCAATATCATCATTGGTGGCGCGTATTCGTCCTCACGTCCAATCTGGTAGATCCTAAATGGACTGTGAACTTAATAATCAGTGTGGAACAGCCGTAAAAAGTAATTAAATGAAAAAGAACCATGAACTGAGCGGTAAGTAACAGAAGGCAAGACACGGAAGCCAAGGTATATTTTCTTCAAGTGATCAAACCGCTGTTTATATTTATCCAGTTTATATTCTTTAACCAATCACTGAGCGTTTGATTTTGATTTGCATTAAACGACATGAAATAGAATGCTCAATATACACATATAGTATTCTGTTGCTAATGCAGTATTGAACTGTGGGAATAGTATTCAGCCGTTAACACCAACAAATATAAAATTATTCTTACTGTGAGAGTGATATTCAGGCTGGAACCATTGTCTGTATCACACCACCACAATTTTCTTAGTTTCTTTCCTATCAGCTACAAACGGTTTCTGGAATAAATGCTGTACAGTTGAGTGAAAGCGTTATTTTCAGTAAATAGGCTGGTTGTAGTGTTGCCAGGCCCTTGTCTTCCGTTGTTACATTTGTTGTCGCTGCCTACCGACAAATGGAAGGCCTATGCCCTGCAGTTTTTCATGGAGACATATGGATCTTCGGGAAGGACTTCGAGGCTTCTGCGCAGTTAAGTGGCGTTCAAGATCTGTCAGCTATGAGACGGCTACTTGGGACGCTACTAAAAGGTTGGGAGAAAGCAGCATATGAAAGTGTAAGGCGAAATACTGACGAATGTGCGACAGGGTCAGGCAAACAGTTTCCAAAGTGGGAAGGACAACATATGGTCACGTTGATTTGGGGTTACGCAGACACAATCGAAATGGCAAACAATAGCGACTGCCGAGATTCCAGATAGCAACACAAACGAGCAAAGCCCCTGGAGCTAAGAAGACCGAACCAACTTCAGTCTCAAGTCTTTGAC